TGCTACTTTCTGTTGTCAGCTTTTTGTGCACCAAACTCAGAGAGGAAACTGAGTAATCCCAGGTAGTTTCTTTTTGAATCTGGTGACATTWGTGTTCTGGAAGGGAGACAAGCTCGTTTCTTCTAGTGAGAAATGTCTTACCTRCCAGCACGTTTTGGGACAAGAAGCTACTCTTGACTATGGTAGTTGTGGGAGATATTCACAACCTAATTCCTCAGAGAYTGGTGTTGCCAGCAAAATAAGGTACCTAAGAAGTGGAGTGGTTGCAAGCAAGTCATCATCTGGCTATTTCTGAGGCCATGAGTGGGATCTACTCTGCCTTAGTGAGGATTTGATAACACTGCTGTATCTTTTTTTCTCCAAGGCTGGAATTGCTTTCACAGGCGGGATGACAGAGAAAAGAAAGAAGTGTATTTTTGAAATGWCAGGAAACATTGCCTGCATCAAACTCTCCTCACTTATCCTCTTCAGTTTTGAAAAAAAAATTAACATTTATTGTAAAACAGTCTGCTYTGATAGCTGTCTGAATGCCCCGTTAAACATTTTCCACACCTCATCGGTGACAAGTATCCRGTCATAAACTGCAATTTGTTATGGATTTCTAAGTAACAGGCTGACACAAGAAGCAGTTATCACTCTCTGATCAGTATGCAGTATTGCTCTTTAGCAATACTCTTCCATGGACACAGCAAGAGTTAAGAGAATAGATTTAAAAAGAAAAGCCCTTTGGTTTTGAACACATGGCTTCTAGAAAAATGTTACCAGAGATTATTTCACCAGCAAAGCACTRAGACAGTAATAAAATGTAATTCCCTGACAGACAAGTGCCATTATTTGTTGTGATTGTAGTTATCACTATTCATCTTCTATCTACATGTCATGTAAACATATACCATATTTTGTAACAGCACACTGAAAACAAAGCTTCTGCCCAGTGGCAGTTTTAGTTCTATCAAATATTTAACAGCAGATATTTACATGTGAAATCCACAACTCCATTGAGAGCTGGTGAGCACTGGAGGACAGTRCCTGCAAAGAAAAAAGTCACCCTTGCATCCTCCAAGTCCAAGACAGGAACATTGTTAAAACTGCAAATTTTTAATCTCCAGTCTTCAGCCTTCATCCCTAGGCAACAGAAATGAGGAAGAGGAACAAAGAAAGGAGACTAAGGTGATCACACAAAAACAATTTTCTGTAGCCGGGGGTCTAATGCCTTTGTAACATCCCTCCATTTAAACCAACTAACAGAATTGGCTGTCACCCAGCATTCCTAGCTTAAGCACCTGTACAGAATTGAAATTCTAGGTGACCTGTGAAACCATCCTCCTAAAGTAAGTGCCTCATTTCCTCTGTATTGCCCCTCTGGAGAGAGGCCCTATTAGCTCCTCTTGGCTAAGAAATCTTCCTCAAGACACTGTCTGCTCTTCCAGACAGACCTGCAAAGTCCATCACAGACCAACACAAGTCTGGAATTCTCCTATGTGTTTCATTCCTTGACATATGCTGCCAATTCAAACTCAACAGCTTCTTTCAATTTATTCAAAGAATCAGGTCTTTTCCCTTTCCATCTGACTCTAGAAAGCAGTAAACTTGTGAGGTATTATCTGCTTTCCACAACATCCAGGATTTCTAAATGAAAACTCGTCTTTCTGTCAAAACAAGCTGCATCTCTCTTCAACTTCTTACTTTAGATTGCATCATCCTTTGCTGTTGAGTCGTCTCATAAGTGTTGCCAACTCTGAGCCATGGAGTCATTGATTCCGCAGTGGCTGTGTGAGAATGGGTCATCTGAGTCCACCGGGCAGGCGGGAGGAAGAAGGCCAGCTGTCCAGCAGTCAGCACAGCAGCAGAATAGTATTTTCCCCCAGATCAGTTATAGACACAATCTGCCTGTGTAGACTGTGCCAGAGCACCAGGCAGAGGACACTGCTAGAGTTGTGCAGAACCTCCTCCTGATGAGCTGCCCTAGGCTCTGCCTACCCCTGCATTCTCTTTGTCCAGCAGATTTTGCATCATTAAATGCTGTTTGCATCTAACAGAGGACAGGCATTTCAGCAGCCAGGAAAGCCCTGCCTCCATTTGCTGTTATAATTCAGTATTATTTTGCTGTGGTGTGTTTGTATAGTGAACACTGTAGTCTGTGTTTGAGGTGGCTCTAGCAGCTTTGTGGAAGGCCAGCAGGAAAGGGAGCCCATCACAGCAGAAGAGTCCTGACATTTGGATAATCCTGTTTTGCAGAAGATCTCTTTCCAAGCTGTGAAGCACTGACCAGCAAGAGAAGAGTCACTGCTCCCTGACAGTCCGAGGGGAACACAGGACTGCAGCTATGTTCATTAACTTGCCCTACCTACAGCAGCATTCCTGTCAAGGACAGTATTTGCATCCTTCCTACCACAAGGAAGCAGCAAGTATGGCGAGGGAGAGACAGAGGTTTGCTCAAAAGGTTGTAAAACTGATAAGGGATTAGCATTTAATCGATGTGAGGAGAAAYCTGTCATTTATTACTTCCTCATGTGACACACTTGAACATTTTTCCAGAAACCAAGACACTAAGGAAACAAAGAAGAAGTCAGGATCAATCCCTTCTGTTTCTCCTGGCATGACACCTTTCTGAGAAAACAGCTTTTGTGAACTCACGCCCAGCAACTTCAATGACCTTGATACAAATCTCTCAATCTTGGTACCCAGTCACTCGAGTTAGCAAGAATCTTAGCTCTTATCTGCAAAAGTAGCAAGTTTCTAGTCCCGTCCTGCTCACTGGAGCTGGAGGGCGTTTAAAAAGGTGACTTGGTGAAGTTTAAAARAAGCTACAAAAGAAGAAAAAGTGGACAGATTAACAACACGTAAGCAAATTACTTTAACCACATGTTTTGACTGTATTTTTTAATTGTGGGAGGGAAGCTTTCCTTAGGGATTGCTGGAAGTTGAAAATAGGTGAGCTGCTGCTAGGGACGTGGCTTCTGTAGTGGGCTGTAAGCACACACCGTTCAGCTCTGAGTCCAGCCAGAAAGCTGTGCCTGAACAGATGACAGAGCTCTCACACTTTCACGTTTGCTGTCTCACAGGGATTTGGCCGACATGTGCCTTTGATGCCAATGCAAAGGAAAACCACTCCCAAATTAATCTGTGTAAGTGTCACTCAGCAGCAATCTAAACTCTGCAGTAAAAGGAACAATTCTGACTTTTACTCTGCAACAGCACAAGAATTACAAAGGGCACTGCACTTAGCTGGGACTCACAAAAGACCACAAGTGATATTAACATCAAAGGCGCACCTTTTCTCATAGTCACGTCTACTTTTTTGGCAGCAGAGGGGGATATGGAAAATCGCTGGGGGAAAAACATTCCAGTACTGGTATTCGTCAATATTTTGAACATCTTCTGCAACGGACACTTGATGCTTTTCAACCTAGCAGACAAAAGAGCTTATTTCTAACTGATTTTGTTTGCAAAAAGCTAGATTAACTACCCTTATTAGCACTATTTTACTTTCTGCATGAATAGTCCCTTACAAGACCTCCTGCTATCCAACACCAGAAGCGCTCAGAGTTAAGGGCAACTACAGGCAAGTAAGGCACTAGACACAAGCACAGATTAGCAGTAACTACGTGTGTGATTTGACTGGGTTGGTTTTGGCTTAGTTTACAGAAATAAGGCCATTTTACTTGTGCTTTTATGCATGCATATCTACTGGTGGAGGAATACCCCTGGGTGAGATTTCTTACGTGCTATCAATTTTTGAAATAACAAGCYGAGTCTGCTGATGTTAAAAATGAATTTTCCTAGTTCTTTTCCTAGTTCTTTTTCAGCGTATTTTTTTTTCCACATGCCTTTCTTGCAATAGGAGAGTTGCTCTGTGTCTCGGTGCTTACGTCAGCCAAAAGACCCTCCCAGAGAGTCTGTGGAATCAGTGTTTCTTGGCACGTGTTTCAYTTCTGTTAGACTTAGAAGCATGCATCAGAAACGGAACTAAAATCCACTTTCACAGAAAATACACTCTTCTCTCATTCCCCAGGAAAYCTTAGACTTAGACTACTAGGAGATGACTGGTATTTGGAGGAAAGCAAAGCAAAAACTTTGTAAAGCTGGATTCTGAGCACATAAATGTTGATGCAAAAGTGATTTCAGTCTGATTTACAAATACCAAGGCAGTGCTCTAAATGTATTGCCCAGATCTTAAAAAAGCCTTATTCTGAAGGACATAAATGACCTAATGCTCCATCATGAGCACTGGGAAATAGCGAAGTCATAGGGAATGATGACAGTTGATATGATAAACAAAACACATTCGCTTAAAAGTAAATGTTCAGTGSAAAGACTGGCTCATTCTTTAGAAAGGCAAACAAAGTTTGGGCTTGCCAATTTCACATGTCATGGAACCWCACAGACCTAAGTGAAATTCAGAACACTCTGGCCTCTATCCCTCCTTCACTCATTGGAGATTTAACAGCAGATTGAGAGTGTTCATATTACTATAACGAAATTAATGCCTGAAACTATATACGAGTGTAATTTACTGCTCACCCTGGGAAGTGTTTGCATAAAGGCTTGCAAATCAAACAATGCTSTGATGCTTACATTCACTTTGCAACGCACCGTCCTTCCTTGACAGCGTAACACACTAACAAGTCCAGAGCACACGTGTAGACCTACATAAAATGTTGCTTACTCATAAATCAGCGATTTACTGTGGGACCCCACTGGTCAGAGCAGATTCACTTTCACCTGTAGATACAGGACTGTATGAACTCCCGAAGTTCACACACCATGAACCTCATACATGATTGTATAAAGTTTTGAGTAGAGTTGGGAGACACCACTTCCAAGGGCAACTGGAAATTTCTCTGCACTTGAAGTGGAAATGAAAGCCCTCCACAATGGACCTGCTCACTGCCCTGCATCCTCACCTCCGCTCGTGTGAGTCCTGGTGGCCGGCGGGACCCCAGTGCTGGCTGCCAGCACAGCKCTGCCGTGCCCTGCGMTCCCCCTCCCCGCCTCACCTGCTGTACACCAGGCACTCCATGTGGTTGATCTCCTTGTCGGACAGGTAGCGGCTGTAATCYTCCCACAGGTCCTTGATGGCGGTGACCGCCAAGATGAAGAGCACCGGAGCCAAGGCCAGCTCCGGCTGGAAGGCATTGACGGCTGGCACGAAGTTGAGGAGGGCGATGAACACGAAGTACACGTTGGCCAGGCGGTGGAACTGCTCGAAGAGGTTCTTGGGCAGGAAGGACAATGCCGTGTACTTGGTGGTCTTGAGGCGGTTGCAGGCCAGGACCGTCCTCYTGGACTTCTCGGGCTCGGCCTCAGGTAACAGCAGGCTGGAGCGCACCAGCCGCGTCTTACTCTCCTTCTTCTTCCTCCGCCTCCTCTTCCTCTGCTTCTCCTTCCCCTCCGGCAGCACCTGGGGCGCTCCCTCTCCTCCTGCCGTGCCCTGGGACATCGCTGCCGCCCCGTTGTCCTCGCCCGGGCAGCGCGGGCAGCTCCCACGGCAGCCTCGGCCCTAAGTTATCATCGTCCGCCGCCCGCCACGGCTCTCCTTCCCTCTTCCCCTCCCGGGGCGGGCGGAGGAGGGCTCTCTCGAACCCGCTCCCAGCCTCTCTGCCGGGACCTCTCTCGCTTTCTCCTCCTCCTCCTGGCCCGGGGAGGGGACGTGGGCAGGCGGGGAGCCGAGCCCTCCTCCCGCGGGCCTCTCCCCGTCCCGGGCGCGGGGGATGCGGGCCCGCCGTGCCGTGCCGTGCCGTGCCGTGCCGTGCCGTGCCGTGCCGTGCCGTGCCGTGCCGTGCCG